GTACTCGGCGCTCCCCGTGGCGCAGTCCGGGGTGCAGCTCACCTCGATTTCCTCATAGAAATCCGACTCGGTGTCCGAGCTGCTCTGCTGCCCTTTGCTGGAGGGGGGCTCCGGGGCGGGGGGCTGCTGTCCGGCCGAAAGCAGTGCTGCTGCCGCCGAGCGGCTCTCCGGCACCGTCCCTGTCCCTGGCAGCACCTCCACATCCTCTTCGTCTTCTCCTCCGCCACCTCCTCCTCCTCCTCCTCCTCTCTCCCGGGACGACAAGGGGCCAGGTCTGGGGCTGAGACAGTTCCGATGGATCATCTTCTCCTGCGGCTCCGGAGCGGGGCTCCCCACTGCTTCGGGCAAATTAGGCACCCTCTTGCCAACTAGAGCGCCAAGTTGTGTCCCTTCCAGAAACATCACCATCTCCTTCCTGGTTTCCATTGTGGCTTTGCTTAAGGGAGGGGGGAAAAAAAATCCAGAGCTCTTTCCCCCTCCCTCCCACTCCCGCCCCAGCCTGTGCAAACCCAGCAACCCTCTCCTGCCAATGCAGAGGAGCAAGCGGTGAGATAGGGTGACCTTGTGATGCGAGCGCTACACTCTGCTGTGCTGCTCTGGGAGGGATCACCATTGCCCTCTTCTTTCTAAGCTGTCATCCTCAATGGTGCAGTCGTCATTACAGTACCACCGGTGACGCCACACATTGATTGCCAGTGGATAAATAGAAACGTCTGCCATGGGGAAGATGAAAGGAAGAGCCGGAGCTAATGGCTAAATGCATGATGCACCAGGTGTAGGAGTCCGAGATGGAGAGGGAAGTGTGAAAAAGTGATGCATATGGAGCTGAGCTGCAAAGAGGTTGTAACATGCGGAGAGAGTTCCGCAGGGGGAAGCCTTGCCTGACAATTAAGTAGCCTTTTGACTGCTTTAAGCCACAACCTTGATGTAGAATTAAGGCGAAGATCCCTAGCCGCATCCTGGAAGTGAGAAGATACGTACTCAAGCCTCTTCCTTGGATGCATTATTTATTGCTGGCAATCAGCTTCCGCATAACTGCATATATAAGGCTTTAAGAATCCTTTGCAAACTTGAGGATAAGGAAACGCGCTGCTGACATCTGAATGCAGAAATAGCTTCGATTTCTTGTTCTGATTCAATATCGGTTCCTATTCGTATGACTGTTACTGCTTTCTATTGACTGAGATTAAAACGTTAGCTTAAAATTTGGAAATGCGGTTACATATTTATTACGTTTTACAGCTGAAAAGATACAACTACTTCATTTTTCGTAGCAGTAACTATTCTAGCTATCTGCTGTTTCTCGTTTACTCTTATTTCTTCCTTCACAGATGCCATTTGTTCCACGATTCTTGCGCTTTTTAGAGGGTTTTACGTCTCCTCCCCTTTCTTCTTTTTAATTAATTGTTTTGCATAAATTATTGTCTGCTTTCAGGAGGAAAAACTGCAAGAAGAAGGTCTGCCAAGAATAATTCAGGCTCAGAAAAATGCAAGTTATCAAGGCCAAAGCTTATGCTAGCTAACAGATGTTGTTAAAACAGAAATGACAAGGGCAACCATTTGGACTGCACTTCTTTGAAAATAAGGGACCTTGTACCGTAACTATCGCGGCACACGTAGTCTCTTTGGCGTATTACGATATTTCTAATGAGTGCGGCAAGTATCTCGTGTCTAGTTAATATTGACTCACATGTGTAGTGTCAAGTCTTTTTCACCATCTGCCGTAACGAGGTTGTTCTATTTTTTTTCTCGGAGTGTTATTGGCTAGTCAGGTTACAGAAAACATTCAACCAATTACGTTCCCAACCCGGTAAGGAATTTACTGGCATATTTGAGGTGACGTTGCTTCGGTGGGGAACAGGCAGAGCAATAGGAAACACGCTGGGATTTTCTGTCTAGCCCTGTGAGCAGGACGGGCACGATGCAGGGAGGCAAACAAACAAACAAACAAGCAAACAGGATTCCCAGTCAGCTGGATGTGTGGATTAAGATGTGCTTCCAGCAATAAGCATACTGATTTCAGGGAGGATAAAGCAGGAATTTTTACAGGGCTATCGCCACCAAGCTCGCGTTCTCCCTGGGTAGACACGCACGCACGTTTCCACGCACACACTCCCCATGCGCACACCATGCTGCGGGCTGCGCTGCTTTTCATCACACGTGTGATGCGTGCGCTGCTCCGAAGCTTGCCAATTTCTTGAAAACTCGTTGCTAAATCCCCTTTCCCTTCTCTCCATTGCCATTCTCTAGACCGATGTGTCCCCTTCCAGCTCCGGATGAGGACCCGCCGCCCACTCCTGTCGCAACCAGGCTCTGCGCCTCGGGCTGCGAGAGCGAGGAGCCGAGGGAGCAGGATCAGGTCCGGCTGCTGGAGGAGCAGGCGGTGGATGGATGGATGGATGGATGGATGGATGGATGGATGGATGGATGGATGGATGGATAAGGCAGCCCCGCTCTGCCGCCATCCCGGGGGCCGCGGCGCGCCTGCTCCCGCTGGGCAGAGGCGGAGGTCCAGCGCTGATTCCGCTGGGTGGAGCGGTGCGGAGCTGTGCGGTAGGGCCAGGCGAAGCGAGGCGAGGGCGCTCGGGCAGCGCTATGCCCGTGTCGCGCTGATGCTGCTCCCCACGGCTGGTGGCGTCGGCGCTGCGCTTTACTGGGGGGCTGATTTCCCTGGCACCTCCGGGGGGATGTGAAGGCTCGGCCTCCCCCGAGGCCCAGGACAC